ATCAGAAGACTCAAAGTTCATGTTCTCATTGGTGCCCGCAGATTTCAAGGAACATTTCACAATCTGAAAAGAAGTGTCTTTCTCCTTAGAGTTATAAGACCATTGGCAGAAAAGTAAAAGCCACATTCACGCATAATTTCCACAACCTAGTTTTTTCCTTCCACAGATAGAAAAGAAGAAAGTAAACACACACCGCAGAGAGCTGGCCCCATGTAGATCTCGGCAGCTTATGGTGGATCACGATTTTTTCATCCGACTTCTGTTCTTTGGACTCCGACTCTTCATCAGAGTCAATGTCAAGGGCCTTCTCTTTGTAGTTTTGATACAGGACAGCGTTTTCTACAAGAAAACAAGCTTTATGCGTCACTAATCGCCCCCAGTCATCATGCTACTTGTTCTAAACAAACATTCATATTTATACAATGTTTGGTCTCCAGTTTAATATACAACAGACAAAGAGACAAACATTTCATCACTGAAGAGTAATTACAGAAAAATGATTTTCTCACTTATACAGCAGTGTCCCAAACTCACCTGCACAGGAAGGGCAGGGGCCCATACATGAAATGCCATGTCTGTGTCCACTACCCATGCAGGATAGCCAAGCCTGTTAAATCACTGTTATTTAGGTTAAATTGAATTCACACCCTGTCTTTCCTTCGAGGTCCATCGCCATTCATTTACCTATTTAACAAACATTTATTGTACATCTGTGATGTATCAAGGGCTGAGAGTAAAGTGGAAAACACAAGACACCTCTCTTGCCCTCATGAGCTAAGAATTTAATAAGAAGAACAGTCAAATTCACTCATGCATTTATTCATTCAACTGATATTCAGAAAAGGTGCCAGCAACTGCTAAGCACTGAGAGTACAACAATGGACAAAAAGATAAAAATCTCAGTCTTCATGGAGCTGACATTAGAGTGTGAGAGAACTGCAACAAATAAACAAGTAACTTTCATAGTATTTCACATGGATAAGTATCATGGAGAAAAATAAAACAGGAAGAGGGGGTGAGAATTGCTCAGAGGAGGGCATGTAGATTTTAAATAGAAGGTCAAACAGGGAACATTTAAGCAAAGACAGAAAGGAGGTGAAAAAGCAAGCCACCTGTCCAGCTTAGGGAAAGAGCATCACATCAGAGGAAACAACAAGTTCAAAGGCCCTGGGGCAGGAGTCTGCTTAGCACACCAGTATATACAAGAAGCAGCGAGGAGGCCTGGAATGATGTGAGGAAGGGGAAAAGTATAGGGGATGGGAGTCAAGGGTAAGTGGACAGCAGACCTGGTATGATCTTTCCTTGGTACCATTGAAAGGATATTGATTTTTACTCCAAGTGTGATGGCAAGTCATTGTGAAGACACAATAACGTTACACAAATATGAGGGTACTTCAAAAAGTTCACGGGAAAATAGAATTAAAAGATAATACGAATCTTTCCATGAACTTTTTGAAGTGCCCTTTTCCATACCTATACACTGAAGGATTTATATGCAGGTGCTCTGAGAAATGACTGTGAGCAGGGTATGATATAGTCTGGAAGTCAGAAAGGTGTTAATAAGGAAAATCCAAAGTCTGAAAGCTGAGAAGCTACAGGGCTAAAGGAAAAAGCATAAGCAAAAGCCCTGAGGCAAGAAGAAACATACTACTTTAGAAGAACTAAGGAAGGTCAATGTGGCTGGAGCCTGCATGTATCTAGTGGCCAGACAGTGCAAGGTGAGTGTAGACAGATGATCTATACAATACAAATCAAACAGGCTTTATAGGCCATGGTAAAGAACTGAGTTTTACCCTGAGTACAAAAGGACTGAGTTTCTTTCACACTGTAATGATTGTATTTTATCCTGATGCAATGGGAATCCGCTGAAAGGGAAGATTTACTCAGATTGGAGAGCAAAACATTGACTACTTAGGAGACTAATTAGAATGCTATTGGGGTGGGCAATAAAAGACGATGGAAAGTTGGGCTATGCAATTTAGAATGAACTGGTGATAGACAGGATATGGGGGCAGAGAGAGGGACATGTTAAAGATGTTCCCTAGGTCCTCAGGTCCCTCAACTGGAATGTAGAAGATGGAATATCAGAAGAGATTCAGGTTCAGTGTGGAAGATTATGAGTTTGGTTTGAGACATACTGAGTTTGAAATGCCTTTCCCATCTACTAAAGCAAGCAAACATCTGCCTCTTCTCTCAACTGTAGACTGTCCTCTGTGCACTGTGACTAAAGTAACACTGGAGTCTATGCAAGATTTTACTGTTCCATGATTGTTCTGCATATGTAAAACATATGCACCAGTTTGCACAGTTTGCACCAGTCTTTAAAGTACTTAGTGGTTGGCACAACGTATGCGTATTACAGTGTTGATATAAGATTTTACTGTTCCATGATTGTTCTGCATATGTAAAACATATGCACCAGTTTGCACAGTTTCCACCAGTCTTTAAAGTACTTAGTGGTTGGCACAACGTATGCGTATTACAGTGTTGATATGATTTATCATTCATTCTCACAGCAACGTGGGCAACAGTATTATTACCCTCATTTCACACGTGTTGAAACTAGGGCTGCTCAGTGATATTACAGTTCTTGCTCAATATAACTCAACTAATGAGTCGAAACAGTAGGAACTCAGGTCTGCCTGGTTCCCATCACAGATCTCACCATTCAACCACACTGCTTCCTAAGTTACACTCTTGTAGTCATTAACTGTAAAAATCTTGCATTCCTCACATAGATATATGTGAAAAAGAATATCTAGGTCATCACACTGAAAAGAGGCAAGAGAGGATACACAGAAACATCTCCTTATAAAAGGAAATAACATAAAACTAGTTATAATAAAGGTCTGCCCCCTGGCTTTAAAAATCTCAAAATTTTCAACCCTCTGAGGCAAAGGTCACGGAACTAATGTCAATTCCAGGGGATGTAGAGCATCTCCCTATGTAGGTATCAGGTGCATGCTCTGTTCCCTTCATGTTCATAGAGTGGTACAAGAGGAAGCAAACTGGACTAAGAACCAGATCTGTATCATGGTAATGGCTGTGTTACTGGCTGTGTGACAGTGGACATGTTACTAAGCCTTTCAGAGCTTCTGGTTTCCTCAATTATAAAATCAAGGAAAAGAACTTATCTCAACCAACTAAAATCTGTGTCTGAGTTTCTTCTCCATACAGCAACTTTCCTAAGATGGGTGCAATGAATGAATTTTTATAAATCAGTCATATAAATATATGTAGAAGAAACTCAGATATAGTATTTTAGCTGGTTGGGATAAATTCCTTTCCCTGATTTTATAAGGAAGCTTCCCATTTTTAAGTGCTACAATGGGAAATTCATCTTTATATATAGGTCATATATTTTATAACTGCATGGTTTTACATTAGCTTTACTTATGGAGGAACATACCCTTTTTCATTATTCTTTAAAGGCTGGAAAACCTTAGCATTTCAAAGCATGGCAGAAGTAACTACCCTCACTACCACCAGGACCCTCCGGCCCTACAAGGGCTAAGGCTGGGTCTGCTGCTTTCATGTCCTTCCAGTTGACTGACACTTGACCCATCCGTTTACAGACAGTCCACTAATCTGATTAGCATTTGAACACCTGGTTGAAGCTGCTTATCTTTTTGAGAACCCTAACAATAACACTATATGGGTTACAAATTCTTAAGAATATGTCTTTTTCAGCCAGGAGAGTTCCATTTCTAAAGCTGAAACTTAATAAGGAAACAGGAAGTCAGAAATGATAATAAAAAGTAGAAATATGGAGAAAATAAGATTGAAAAGTGACCTAAGAAAATATGACTTAAGATTTAAATGCCAAACTCTCAGAATTTTTAACTAAAACTAAAACTTGCTCTTACTCTTTCTGTGTTATTTGAGAGGGAGGGGGATGGAGCCAAAGTAGAGAAGAATTAAAAATCCCAGGACACTGGCCGAAAAAGTTATCAGCTATGAAAAATGCCATTAATTTTATTCACTGCTGGTATTACTAGATGAAAATTTAGCGTAGTGCAAAGTTTTGTACTGTATAATTTGGGAGGAAGTTGGACATATTTCTCATCTTAAGTGTTTTTGTTACTGCAGTTGGATTTCAACTTATAATTGATATTCCACATTGAAATAGCAATAGAAGTCTGGAAAATTTGCTTACCTTCCCCATCAAATGTTCCTTGTCCTTTCAGCATTTTTTTCTGAGAGACAAGAAAAGCAAAAAAGAAAAAAGGAAAAAGCAAAGCAAACTATGTATGAATGAGCCAAATAGAAAATACAGCTATTTTAAGTAAAAGTACTTTTTTTGTTACATTCATTTCCAAAAGCACACAGCAGATGATCCCTAGAGCAGTTCATTCATATGACCACTACAATTCACTGAAAGAATGAAATAATATGTACAAAGTCTCCTACATCCCATCAAAACAGATTGAGAATTCTCAAATGACCAGCAGTTCAGCTCATTTCACTACTTGTGATTCACCATCACTGTTAAATTGAACTTTGCTATACTTGCAGAGTTGGAAAAAAAACACATAAAATGTTATGTAATTTCTTTTCTTTAACACCATAGGCTCTAAAATAAAACAGACTTGCTTGTGTATTACATGTGTGACATTTATATAGACTGGTTCCAGTTCTCTGATTAATCAAGAAAAAATGTGGCTGCCAAAGGGAATCTCTGCCCTATTGCTGAGATCTGTCTTGTTTCTGGGGAAGGCAGCACACACTCCAAAATATCCCTGTCTAGCTTTCGCTGTTTCTTTATGTCATATTTGGCAATATTTTAGTAAGTGCAGCTCCTAGGCCTATATGAGGAAGCAATAACACACAGTTCTCCTGACCTGAAGTTTTGAGCTATCAATCAGTTAAACGCACTCAAGGATAAATGGTCATACATAAACGGGAATAAAATACAACCAAAGGCCATGGTGACAGAAACAAGCAACAACAAACATGACAAGCTATTTGTGTCTTTTGTGATTCTGGCAATTGATCTTAAAATTCACATTTTACCTGAATGACATCAAGTGTGTGATCACCACTCATAAAACAATTCAATATCAGTATTTTCCTGCATCAGCTGTGATACTAACACTGCCTGACACCACTAAACAACCACTAGGCAACTTGACCACAGCCAAAAGTGCAGATGTAAGCCTGCTCTGCCCGCTTCAGCTACCTGCATTAGAAATGCTGGGCATCCACTCGGCCATTACTTAATTTGCCGTAATTGTGTTCCCTTTGTCCTCCAAATTTTGCCTGAGCTTAGAAATTCAAAAGTGACAGCAGTTTCATTTCCTCCCACAAAGTTGCATTAAACTCGGCTGTGCCTGCCAGCAACAGAATGCCTAACAGATAGATGTGCACAGGTCTCAACAGCAAAAACAGAATTGAGAGAGAATAACTCCTTCTGGTTTCCTCGGTGCTCCTTCTTCCCACCCCCAACACATTCACTATGAGCTTAGTGCATGGCAGGCGACACTACCGCCACTCTTACCTTTATCCTTCCCAGGCTGGAAAACTTCTCCTTGTCTTCCATCACGGCTTTCAGAACAGGCTGGGACATTCTGTTCTTCTTCTTCGAGCTGGTAGGACTGTCAAAATCAAAGCCACTGACCACCGCCCTGCGATAGGACGTGGACCGCAAGCCCCTCCGAAGAGACCCGGGGCTATCGCCGTCGTTCTCGCCCCCGCCGTCGTCCCCTGCGTGGCCCAGGGGTGCTCCGAGGCCCTCCACGATGCTGCGTACCTTGAGGAGTCTCTTGTGGGGCTCCTCACTGTGACTGCTGGATTTACTTATTCTGATTTCCGAGGCCAGGCTCTTGGGGATGATCTGCTGCTTGCCCACTTTGAGGGCAGCGGGACTGTTGGTGCTCAGAACCACGTTAGGATTCTCGGGGAGCTCGCTCTCCTGGGAGGACAGCCTGTGGAGGAGGAGTTTTTGTTCCGAAGGTATTTTCTGGGGCGCGGGAGAAAGTCTCAGGGGTCCCCGTTCAGGGTCCTTAGCCGTCTGGCCGGACTGCGAACCGAAGCCAGGAGAGTCGTCATTAGGCTCAAGGCCATTTGCAGTGGGCGAAGGCACCGGGCTGGCAGTCAGCCGGGTCGGGTCCTCCTCGAGGCCGCAGGGGGCGGGCGCTGTAAGAGTCCGCGGGGGTCGCGGCGGCGGCGGCGGCGGCGCAGGCGAGGTCACCGTGCCATTCGCGGGGGATTTCGGGGAGCCCCTCGACGCCGCTTTGGAGACTTGGGGTGACTTGGTTCTTCGGAGCCGAGGAGAGGCAGCCCTGTATTCGGGGGAGACCGTCCTACCATTGGCCACCGCCCTCCGATGGGCGCAGAGAAGCAAGGGGCTCCTCTGGACCGTCCTTCCGTCCGAGGAGGTGGGCACCTGGGCTGGAGTCTGCGCCGCGGGGAGCACAGCCCGGTCCTCCACTGGGAAATCTGTGATCAGCAACCCGCTGGGGCTCTGGTAAGACTGGGGCCTCGGCTTGCTCCGGCCCAGCGGCTGGGGCTGAGGGGTCGACCGCCTCCGCCACAAGGGGGTTAGGCTGCTGCTAGAAAACTCCACTTTGCTGTCGCCGTCCATAGCGGGGTCTGGGAGTCAGCCCCAGGGAGAACGCCACCCAGATAGTCGTCCCTAAAGAGAAAAGAAGTTATGAAACTTTGCCTGCGAACAACCGAGCACGCCTTGCAGAACCGCGCGTTCCGAGCCCGGCGGTCACCCTGCTGCTGCGCGGGACACAACCGCGCGGCAATTACCCGCCCTTTCTCGGGCAAAATCTGCACCCACCGTGGTGCGCGGTCCCGGGAGGAAATCTGGACTGCAGCCCAAGAGGATTAATCGAATCACCTCCGCGTCCCTCCCGGGTCCAAAGACCACCCGCAGGGAACGAGCCCTCCACCAAGTTGCTGGGTGCAAGTCGATGCACAAGAAACTTGGGACGAGTTCAGCTTTCTTGGGAAACTCACGGCGGGACGCTCCCCTCCGCCGCCATCCAGCCTCCCGCCCCCGTCGTGGGTCCCCTAGCACTCAAGCTGCCCGGCTCCCAGGCGGATTTACCTTAGGAAACTTGCAGAGCCGGGGGCCAAGGAGGACCCACCGCCCGGTGGGTGGCCCGGGCCGGGACCGAAGAGCCGTGGCGGCAGCTCAGGAGAGCAAGGCAGCCGACCACGGCGCCGGCTCCGCCCCATGCCTCACCCCGCCCCCAGACTTGGCCCCGCCTCCAGACTTGGCCCGGCAGGGACCCGCCTTTGTCGCAGCCAGCAGGGAGCAGCTGTCTTCCTGCTCCTGCGTGCCTTGAATCTGCTCCTGTCTACATATTAACAGACGCGCACACCTGAGCTGGGTGCTGAGCTCCAGGGTTCGGGCTGGAAGCTGCGGGCTGGTGGCGGCGCGGTACCGGAGTTGCGAGGTCATTGCGGAGAGAACAGCGTGGGAGCTCTGTCGAGATGCAATTTGCAAAGCCGTGGGACAGGGAGAGTCTCCCGCGTTGAAACCCAGAAAGCGTGTCAGGGTAGGATTTGTGGAATACATGAGCGGGAACGCGGAGCCCTAACTCAGGGAGCCATGTGGTCTTAAAATACAAATCTGATGGTCTAGCTTCCCTGTTTAAAATGCCTTGTAATATGGACAGATAGATTTGCTAGTTTGTTCGTAGAATATTTCCAGAGGCATACACACTGGTAGCTGTGGGGAAAAGAACTGAGCGTTCTAGGAAACGGGGGCGGGAAGGGAGTTTTCAGTCAATAATCTTTGGATCTTGCATGCTTTGAACCTTGAAAGTTACCTATTAAAAATAAATACGATTTAAACTACAAAAAAAAAGTGTTGGTTTAAACTACAAAAAAAAAAAAAAAAATTGTTGGTTTCCAACCGTACATAGAATAAAATTCAAAGTCTTTACCATGGCTTACTAGGTCCTGCACGAAGGCCTACCTCTTAAGCCTAGTCTTTGCCCCATCAGTTCCTCCCTCAGTATTTTTGGACATAGCCTCTTAAAGTTTCACACCCTTAGAATCTTCCCTTTCGTTCCTTTTTGACCTTCTGACTTGTCACTCTATCAGAAAGGTCTTCCCTGACCCTTTCTGAGTTAGACCACTGCCCCGTTTATTTTCCCAGCCATCTGTTCTCTTCCTTTTCCACACTTAATCAAAATTTGTAAATACATAGATATATTTATTTATGTGTTTATGTTTATGATCTGTTCTATCTCTACACTGTAATTTGCACAAGGCAAGGGGCTATGTTTATTTGTTTCTCCTCCATATTCCAGGCACATAGTGGGCACTTAATATTGTTGAATGAGTGAATGAATGAATGAGAGAAATTAAGTGAGGACAGTGATCATCCCTCCCAGAGTGCTCAGTTGGCAAATTGTAGAAAGTTGGTTGTGTCCTGGCCAAGCTCCTGCTGTTTGAGAATAATAAAGCAAACTTGAGAAGACAAATGATTTTAGTCCATAAGATCTACATAAATGATTCTATCAGCAAGACATATGAGCCCTTCTGCAAGTTCTTTTTCAGCTTTCATGAATTCAGCAGGGATGTAATCAACATCCATCGTGTGTAAGTTATGCTGCTTGTTTTTGCCCTAGGAACACTGAATGTAATGGCCAAAAATATTAAGAGGTAATCTCTGGCTGATGAGATGAAGGATGTTTTCCATGTTTCTTTATATTTTTCTGTACTTACATGTTCATTACTGTACAATGAACATATATTAGTTTGATCTGAGACAATTTCATAAAGTAGAAAGAAAAGGAAAATGGCATCAAAAATGTATAAGAAAATTTTAAGAAAAGAAATTTACCAAATATTTCAGTTGGAAGAAATATGGTTGATTACATACTCATACACAGACACTTTTAATATAGAATGCCTCCCCAAACTCACTGAATCTTAAGTTGTGTCCTCCAAAGTTCCAGGTATTGGAAATTCGGCCTCCACTGTAACAGTGTTGACAGGGTGGGAAATCGTATTATGGTAATTGAAAGGTAGGGCCTTGATTAGGTGATTAAGTTAATGATTTAAAGTTGTCATGGGCATGATTTGGGGGGCTCTGAAAGGAGAGTGCATGAGGAGCTCTCACTCTCACTCCCTCCGTTCTGCCATTTTCTGCCATGTGAGACCCCTGCATTGCTGTAAAACCACTACCAAAGAAGCCCTTCACCAGATGTGTCACCTGGACTTTGGACTTCCTGGCCTCCAGAACTATAAGTAATAAATTTTGTTTTCTTACAAATCATCCAGTTCCAGGTATTTTGTTATAAGCAACAGAAACGGACTAATAAAAGAAAATTGGTACCAGGAGTGAGAAGTTGTTTATAACAAATACCTGAAAATGTGGAAGCGACTTTGGAATTGGGTGTTGAGGAGAGGCTGGAAGAATTTGGAGGAGCAGGCCAGAGAAAGCTTAGATGCTGGTGGGCATTTAGAAAACAAGAAAACCAGGGAAAGTTTGGAATTTCTTAGAGACTGGTTAAATGGTGGTGAGCAGAATGCTCATAGAAATATGGACAGTAAAGACCATCCTCAGAAGACCTCAGTTGTAGATGAAAAGGGACTTACAGGAAACTGGGGCAAAGGTCACCCTTGCTATGAACTGGCAAGGAACTTGGCTGCATTCTGTTCATGCCCAAAAGTTTTATGGAATGTGGAACTTCAAGGTGCTGACCAGGATATTTGGCAGAAGAAACTTCTGAGCAGTAAAGCATTAAGGAAGCTTCATGGCTACTTGCAACAGCCTATGCTGAGTTATGGCAAAAAGGGCATGAGATAAAGCCAGAATTAATAATTCAAAAGAAAGCAGATGGCAAAAAATTGGAAAACTTTCAACCTGCCCACAAAGCAAGGGTGTAGCCCAGCAACCATTTGCTAAGTAGATTAGTACAGAAGAAAAGGATTATGAAGAGAAGAAGAAAAAGACCTTGAAGGCATTTCAGAGGCTGCTCCTTCCATTACAAGCCCGTAGGCCTAGGGAGACAGAATGGTCCTGGAGAACAGGCCTAAGGCACCCTCCATGGGCTCACTGCCCAAGTCCACCTTGGGATGCTGGCCCCCACACCAGCATCCCAGCTGCTTTGGCTGCTCTAGCTGGGCTAAATTGGCCCCAGGTGTGGCTGGATGTGCAGCTTTGGAAAATACAAGCTGGAAGCCTTGGCAGAGTCCATGTGGTGTTAGGTGTGCAGGCTTGCAGAATGCCAGAGCTGTAGAGGCTTGGGAGCCTCCACCACAATTTCAAAGGATGTGTGGAAAAGCGTGGGGGCCTAGAAGGAGACCTGTAACAGGGGTGCAGTCACCACAGAGAGCCTTTGCTAGAGTAATGCTGAGTGGAAACAGGATCAGAGTTAAAGCAGATAAATACCATCAGTGTCATGTCTAGTGGAGCCATGAGAGTGGTACCACTATGGAGACCCCAGATCTGTAGAGCTACCAGCATGCAACATCAGCCTGCAAGAGCTGAAGCATGGCAAGAGACCAGGAAAGCCACAGGAGGGGAGCTGACTGAGGACTAAGGAACCCAACTCCCACATCAGTGTGCAGAAGACATCAAACATGGAGTCAAGGTGCATGATTTGCCAGCTTTGAGATTTAATGCCTGCCCTGCTTGGTTTTGGACTTGCTTAGGACCTCTTACCCCCCGCCCCCCCCCTTTTTTTTTTGGCCTATTTCTCCCTTTTGGAATGGGGAATTCCAGGTATTGGAAATTCGGTCCCCACTGTAACAGTGTTGACGTGGTGGGAAATCCTGTCATGGTAATTGAAAGGTGGGACCGTGATGAGGTGATCAAGTTGATGGTTTGATGGTGGTCATGGGCATGGTTCGGGGGGCTTTAAAAAGACAGTGCATGAGGAGCTATCTCTCTCTTTTTCTCTCTGCTCTGCCATTTTCTGCCACATGAGACACCTGCATCGCTGTAAAGCCACCACCAAAGAAGACCTTCACCAGATGTGTTCGCTGGACTTTGGACATCCCCGCCTATGAAACTGTAAACAATAAATTTTGTTTTCTTAAAAATCACCCAATTCCAGGCAATTTCAAAAGTGTTTTTTAATATGTATTTATATTATATTTAATGTTTAGGGATTTTAAATATAGGGCATTGTCTATACCAACATGTATTTTATATTGAAAAAATAATTAATTTCAAAAGTGCTTAACAATGCTTAAGGACAAATAGTGTTTGCCTAATTCAGAATGCAATCTATGACCTGTGCTGAGAAGCTGTAAATGGTGATGCGAGAAGCTGGCTCCTGGCTTCTCTTCAAATTGTGCTGGTTCTACAAACAAGTGTAACTGGTGTTTGTGAAGAAATCACAGGATCTGCCTATTTCATTCCTAAGCAGCAACATAATACCCACCAAAACGATAACAAAACACCAAGCTCTGTCCCTTCACTAAGGGAAGTTTGGAAACTCATAGACCTAGTGCCTATTTTAGCCTCAATTCAATTTATCATATCTATTCAAATCTAAGACGCCTTCAATTGTATATACTACTAAGAAAGGGAAAGAGCTGCTAATTAAACTATGACACAATGTGGTATCTCATAGGATTTTTATCTTATACTTACTGAAAGAGAGCTTTTAGACTTGGACATAGTTTTTTAGTAGCATGCATATACAGAAAAGGAGGATGTAAGCAAAATAAATTGATTAAAGTTCTGTACATCTAGCCTAATTTTTCCAAATTCCTTTTCACACAGAGCATTAATATGTGTATTTTCCCATACAGTACCATTGATAGTGCAGCATTTCTTAATAGGAGGTACCACTCTTGTCTCTGGGATTTGCTTCCTCGCAGCTAACACCCATTCTGTAAATCTGATGCTGGCACTATTCTATTTGACTAAACATGCAGTTTTCTTATTCAACTGAATCATGCAGATTCTGTATTAATAGCTGAAAGGAAGTTTCTGACAAATTGTAGTTCCATGCCTTAACTACAGTCTTGCATGAAATATCAATTGGTTATATCAGCCTGTTGATGCTTCGGAATTTCTTTCACCTAATCTGACACTTCTGGCAATTTTTCCTGCCTTTAATTGCATGTCTTGGCATGTGACTTTGACACATATAACACTGAATTGCATAGAATTTAATGTTAATAATGACAATTTTAACAGTTATGACCATCTTCACAAATATAGAGGCAATGCCAACTCTATTATCATGG